CATAGCTTCTGCTAAGCTGTCATCTCATCTCTTAGCCCTGGAATCTCACAGTCTTTTATGTTAGCCCCCATTCCAGCAATGGGGTTGTGTTTGCAGTTCTCATGTGTGTTACTCCTTTGCTATGCTGAGACATATGAGCACCTTGGTCAGCCAGACGTAGTCACATCATTTTGACCAAGTCAAGGACCATGTCCTTCCATATAGCCAGCTCTACACAGGTGGAATATGTTTGGAGTAAAAGGTAAAGATGGAGGTAAGGGGCTCACTTTCTCACAGTCTCACAGCTGGGCAGCTTACCAAACCCAACTGAAAGCTCAAGACTGCTTTCTTTCTTACACCCTTTGGTTTTTTCTTTTGTATTTCAGGGAAGGGTCTACAGGGTGTTCAGGGTCTCACTACTAGATAGGACTCATAGTGATCTGCCTGTTTATAGCCTTCCAAGACCTGAGATTACAGGATGCACCACCACATCAGTCTCAATTGCCCTCTCAGCATGGCAGGTGTGAGAATTGAACCCCTGGCCCATGCACCTGCTTGCAGGTATTTTAATCCACTGAGATATTTGAACAGCCCTTACACTCTTTTTTTGTGGGGCCCGTGAACATCTTTGCAAATGTGAAGAGAAATAACTCCAGGGTTCTTAGACAAATGCTCGCAGGACAGGATGATGGCTTCACCTCTTTATGTCCCTCCTCTTTCATCCTCAGTTCTTGAGCAGATCCAGAATGAAGTCCTGAGTATTTGAGGTCCTGAGTTGGTCCAGAGAGGGAGTTGGCAAGGAAAATCATGCGATGCCTCTTATATATGTATGTGCATAAAATTGGTAGCATATAAGTTGTACAAATCAGTGGGTTCTACGTCAATATATACATTTACATATATATCCATTCTATGATGTAGGTCTTACCTTTTTCCCCATTCTCAGTCTCCTTTCCCTTACTTGATAATTATTCTACTTTCAAGCTAACTTAAAATTTCCACAAAAGAGAAGAAAAATATGGCACTAGAGAGATAGCTCAGCTGAGTAAGTGAATATTTAGGCAAGCTTAGGGATCAAGATAGCACAGCAGACTAAGTGCCTACTTAGCCAAGCTCAGGGACCAGGATTCAATCCCTGGAACCATATGCCAAGATGGCCCTTGCCCCTGTACCCTGAGCTGGCCATTAAGGCCAAGCAAGGTGGTGCACACCTGTACTCCCAGAACTGGGAGGCTAAAAACAGGACGATCACTACCAGTCCAGGTGTGGAGTGAGACCCTGCAACAAATACATTAAAAAGCAAATAAATAAAAATGTATTAAAAATGAGAGAGAAAAAAAGAAATTATGAAGTTGAGTGTGACAGCACATACCTGCATTCCAGCCTGCTAGAAGGCCATGGCATAAGGATAACAAGTTCAAATCAAATCTGAGTAACCTAGCCAGACCTCTTCTCGAACTTTTATAAAAGAGAGGCCTGGGGATCAATGCAAAGGTAGAGGAGAGAGAGATAAGAGACTGAGACACACACAGACAAAGACAGGGAGGGATAGAGAAAGAGACACACAGACAGAGACAGAGACACACACAGAGAGAGACAGAGAGAGAGAGAGAGAGAGAGAGAGAGAGAGAGAGAGAGAGAGAGAGAATATGAATACAAGAAAATTTCTGAAGGACCTGCTGGATAGCTCTCCTTGAAAGAAAAGCATTGGGCC